AAAGGAGAAAACTAATAAGTTAAAATCATGCGACTAAATCTGAAAAGGAAATTATAACTGGTATATTCACAGCGAAGCGAATCCAGGGTTTGACAAGACTTAGATCTTATCGAGTTATACAATACAAAAGTTCGATTAACGAAATAATGAATAAAACTTGACTTCGGTCAGCTCCCACTGCAAAAGCTTCGAATTAGATTCCTGTTTAATTATGTCGATTCAAGCAGTCACTGTAAATATTTATCATAATTTTTACATACATATGTATGCCATCGCATTGTAAGCTTTCATGTATGCATGAAGGAATTTTGCGCATTAAACGTTGTGACAGATATATTATATACGATTTTTATACCTTCAGTGACAACGAACTGGTATTATAACTTTGGTCCCATACTCGTATGTATCAGAAGAAGAAGAGATAGACCCACGAAAGAACAAAGCAAAATGATCAGAGCGTCGAGCAATCTTGTTCCTCAGTTTTCAAAATACGTATGCAGCTAAAATCATGAAATTGTTTGAGCTATTTAATTATGGATCATACAAGACCTACTGCGAAAATCATTTAGATCGGTGCTTTATATGGTATATCTTCCATACCACCGATTGTTCAGTTATGAGTTATTGTTATATAATTCCTCTATCTATGTACAGCGACGAACAAAGTATTGACACAGAGAATTTTTCGCAATGTATGCAAAGTTTTTTATTCATATTTCTCTCGTTAACTTTTTATAAAAATATAGTTCACACTACAACAAAAAAAAACATAAAAATGACATCTCTAAACTTTGTGGAAAACTGAGGAAAATTCAATACATTTGCATACTAATTTGCAACTTTCTAATCACGATATTCACGCAGTTTCTTCCATACAAAGCATGTTCGACAATTTATTTTTTTCTTTTGTTTGGAAGAAAATAATCCCGGCTGCAAAAAAAAATCCAAAAATTAATGCTATTTTTTGCAACTTTAAACTTGCACTTTGTTGTGCTAAAATTGAATAGGCTATAAAACTGCATAAGTACTTAGATTTTTTCTGTTTAGAAAGTTGCAAATTTATTGAATTGACCAGAGTTTTGCACAAGGTTTAGAAATTTTATTTTTGTTTTTGCATGAACTAAATTTATATAAAAAGTCAGCGAAAAAAATATAATAAAAAACTTTGCATACATTGCGAAAAATTCTCTGTGCCAATAATTTTGCTTCGTAATTAGGATTTTTCTGATTAGAAAGATGCATTTATTGCATTTTCCTGAGCTTTGCACAAGGTTTAGAAATTTCATTTTTGTTTTTGCATGAACTAAATTTTTATAAAAAATCAGCGAAAAGAAATTATAATAAAAAACTTTGCATACATTGCGAAAAATTCTCTCTGCGAACAATTTTGTTAGCTCCCAAAAAACTTTAAAATGCAGTAATAGATGAAAAAAAATGTATTGATGTTCATGACAGGCATAGCCGAAAACAGTACTGTCCTAACTTGTGTAAATATGATTTAGTATGTAATTGTAACTAATAGTTCTGGCACTACATTTAATAATTTTTATATATATATTTTCAGGCAGCGAAATTGACAAAATATGCGAAATATCAAAAGCTATGTGATTTTATATTTGCGGTATTTACTATTGTATGGATTGTAACAAGACTTGGTTTCTACCCCCGTATTATTTATAGGTAAGTTTAATTCAAATACGTACAAAGTTTTCGCAAGAGAAAAACCTAATTAATAGTTTTCATTTCTTCATCTTGCGAATAGTAGATAAATATTTAGTAAACACTATATAGTATGTACACTTAACACCAAAAGTCTGCATACACCATTCCTTTTTTAAATATTCATAATATATTGGAAGCTTTTTTGTTATTTTTTTTATAAAAATATGGATTATGCTTAACACAAAATTATATAAACCAAGGTTTCAAGCTTTATACAAAATTAAGGAAAATTCAATTTCATCACAATTTTAAACTTTTCAATCAGAGCTTTTAAGTACGCAGTTTTATAGCCCATTCAATTTTAGTGTAATAATGTGTAACAAATTATTTTTCTGACGGTTTTACACATTTTCCTCCATACAAAGCTTTTCCAAACCAAGTCGCTAACATCGATATTTCTTGAGAAATTGGGCTTTGAAGATTGGGTAGTGTGGAATTATCATGGACTATTGAGCTTAATTGTAGAAATTTTTTATCAATTGCAAAGCCCAATATCTCAAGAAATATGTAGAAATTGATTTCCTACAAGTTTGCTATTTACATTTCTTCTGTAGCTGGGTTTAGTTACGCCGCAATGGACACTTTTGAAGAGCATTCAATTCTGAAGGAACCCTATCTTTGACCAAGATTATGCCATAAAATGCCTCTGAGCTGTAGAATTTTAAAGAAAAAAATCTAAGTTTACGTGTATTTTAAACGGGAAATGTTTGCACGCTTTGGTCGAGCACATTATGGGTGGTATTATCACTTGCTAAGCGAATAAATTTGGCGAAGCGAACAGTTTGGGTAAGCGGATTGTTTGGCGAACGCAACTATATATGTACATATACTTAAAAGTGTTCGCTTTTACCGGGCTCAATTTTTCAGGGCATTTTTTTAAGTATTTGCCACACAATTTCGAAGTGGGAGTTAAAAAATCATGTTCACATTATCGTAATTTACGGTTCATTTATAATTTATAAGCAAATCATGCTGAAGTCAAGTAATTTCGCGTTGTAAAATCCGTCAATAAATTAAATAGAAATGAGATAATTTATCATAAATCAAGAACTAAATGAAGAAAATAAATGAAATTAAAAAAAAAAAACTTTTTAATATATCAAATAAATGGACAAAAATTTGAAAATAATATATCTCAGTCCCATAGAATTTGTTTTGATAACTTTTGATTTTAAAATTTTAGCAAAAGTCATTATAAATAATTGATGAGATTGAAAACGAAAAATGTGGAGCGCATGCAATACAAAGCATTAGATTTAATTGACAATAGTCAAACTACATAACATAGACCTAAAATTTCTACAGAGAAAGTACAAATTTGAGATCGATTTTAAGCGGTCCTTATTCATAAACCCACATACATACTGTAACGACAGCCTATGTAATCGGTGGCAAGTAACTGCTGCAAAAAATATCCCCACTCAAATATCCCCCCACACAAATGCCCATTTGTACCTCAACGATGTACCCAAACATGTTGCGCAACATGTGTGAGAAGGCGCACTGCCAGGAATGACTCTCTGCGTGTGTGTAGGTGCATATGCTAAGGTGTAGATTTGAATTATGTGTTTGTATGCGTGGATCTGAGTGAAAGTTTGAGATATGTTCCACACGCAAATGCATCGGGGCACGATCGCTTGGTCGGCTAACAGGAAGATTCAAATGGGAAAGTGTCTTTTAAGTGAAAAGTAGTGCAAGGGAAAGTTCCGCATCGAATACGGTTTATTTTGATCAGTGGCAAAAAGGAATAAAGCAAGTTGTGCCCCGTTTAACCGGGACCATTAATTCCCGCTGCAGATCCCGCTACCAGAAGGTGAGTCAGCTAAAGACACCTAAGCCTAGTATATGCATGTATGTAACTGGGTGTGTCACCTTTTTATACCCGAGCGCACTTGTTCACAAGGGTATTATAACTTTGTTCACATAACGGTTGTTTGTAACAGGCAAAACGAATCGAGATAGATATAGACAAATGTATACATAAATGATCAGAATGAAAAGAGAAATCGATTAAGCGGTGACTGTCTGTCCGTGCGTCCGTCCGTCTGTGCACACGATAACTCGAGTAAAAATTGAGATATCTTAACGAAACTTGGTAAGTGCACTTCTTTTGGGCATAGGACGGATGGTATTGAAAATGGGCGAAATCGGACAATAACCACGCCTACCTCCCATATAACGGTAATTTTCAGAAATACGAAAACTGCGATATTTTAGTAACTACTGAAGACAATTCACTCGAAATTGATATTTTCAATGATTGTTAGACGAAAAATAAGAATATTAAAATTTTTTGGAAAATGGGCGTAGCCACGCCCACTTATGGTTACATGTATATATCTTGGTAACCGCTGCACCGAATTCTTCCAATCTTGGCACAGTTGTTGGCCCTGGTACAGCATACCAAACGGCTGAAAATTTTTAAAATCGGACAATAACCACGCCCACATCCCATATAACGGTAATTTAGAGAAATACGAAATCCTCGATAAATCATTAAATATTAAAGCTAATTTATTCGAAATTGATGGTTGCAACAATTCTTTACCAAGACGTTTACGTTTATGATAAAATTTTGGAAAATGGGTGTGGCACCGCCCACTCATGATCACATATATGTATCTCGCTAACCGTTCTAGCAATTTGTACCAAACTCGGTATGGTTATTGTGCTTGCCACATAAAAGCAAACCGTTGAAAATTGTTGAAATCGGACTAAAATTTCGGCCGCTTTTCATATAACGGTAAATTTCAGAAATGCTTGAAATTTCAATATTTCCTAATTGAAGGACGCTAATTTACTTAATATTTATACACCCCGGCTTATCATGTAGCGGTAGCTTTCGGAAAGGTGGAAAACATATATTTAATACTTGCGCCGGGTATTTAATGTTCGGCTCCGCCCGAACTTAGACTTTCTTACTTGTTTTTAATAAATGTGTACAAAACTCGGGACAACTAAACACAATTTCAATTAGACCCAAGTGAAAAATAATGATGAATCGGTAAACGCTGACTGAAAACCAACTTAAAATCAGTATAAACTATAAATTTAAAGTGAAATAAAATAAATTAATATAAAATTAAAATGTCTTAAATAGCAAAAAAAACTAGGCTTAAAATAATTTTTTGCGAAATTAATTGTTGTAAAATGACATGAAAAGTGAATTAAAGAGAATGTGCTGTAAACCTTTGTATGTAATTACGAAATTAAAATAAATTACCTGTAGCCTAATTAAAGAAATAAGCCAAATAAGCGAATGTCACCAAGCACATAAACACACACATAAATATAGACAGACATGCATAGAACTAAACAACCCAGTGGGAAAACGTAATGGATTGTGATCGAAAGAAAAAAAACAGTAAAACAGCCGTTTTCGCATTCGATAATGCATTACTTTTTCCACTGCGACGACCTAAGAAAAGTGGGGCATTCGATTTGGCATTACCAGTAATGCAA